GAGAGAGAGAGAGAGAGAGAGAGAGAGAGAGAGAGAGAGAGAGAGAGAGAGAGAGAGAGAGAGAGAGAGAGATAGAGAGAGAGAGAGCGAGAGAGCGAGTCATAAGTTAGACTTTGAAGTGGAGCCAACAGCAAGAAAGACAGAAAAACTTCAAAGGAAGCAGTTGTAAGACGTCAGTCTAAGCGCGCCCAAATCCATGCGCCGGCCGTGTGAGAGTAGTGAGGAAAAGTTCAAAGGAAGCAGTTGTGTGACGTCAGGCTAAGCATGCCATAATCTAAGCGCTGACAGTGTGATTGCAGTGCGCAATGCACTGACGCAGCGGTGTGCGGCAGATGCAAACATGACAGTGTGATCGGTGGATGCTAACACACACTAACTACATTACTGTGACAGGAAATACCTGCTCTCTGCGGTGAACTAGTCCAGCGCTGTGCGCTAAGAAGTCATCGACCGCGAGCGGTACAAATTTGTACGTACAAAAGGTAAAGGGTAGCAGTTCCCTGATCAACAAAACTAGTAGACATTGCCGAAAAGATACATTGGAGACAGCCAACTGTTAATACAATTAGGCCTCTGTTGGAATACTTAGACTTTAGACTGAGCTACATGCATCGTATGAGCCACGAGAGCTGGGGATAAAGGTTCATGACGTTGAGACACAACTCCTACTGAGATAGTTATCTAATCAAACGCGTAGGGCAAACACGTTTATGCCCTTCCTTGCTTACTACGACAGCTCACTGTAACAAGTAAACGTCAGCCCTCACCAACGCTGTACAAAGCGTCACTGGCCCGCTTCTCAACGGTCGCGCTAATCGACCAATCAGCGTACAGCTAATGTACCAAAATTCTCAAACTTACCGTAATTCCTTGGTTCATACGGTGTAGTTTCCAAAGATTGTTTATGGGCCAACGTCTTCTTTCGATAGATACCAACAGATCGTCCGCTTCGAATTTTTCGATTTGATTGCCGTTTGGCCGAAAATTACCTCCGAAACCGGCCTCCACTCGTTTCACTTCAAGGCTTTCAAGGTGGACGGCATCGCAATTCGGAAGCGGAGAAAGGATAGCCAGTGAAAAAAGAAAAAACAACGACGTATTGGTTGTCGAAATCGACCAAGAAATGAATTCAATAGACCTGTTTCCGTGCTGCGCCCTCGCGGCCCGCGCGAGTGCGAAAGGGATTCTTTCTCGACAAAACAAACTACGCGCAGTACACTGACATCACTGCACTGGCTGTATATACCTTAGGAATATCCTGTTCTTTTCCAAGGCACGATTGTCGCTAGTGGGAGAACTCAGCCACCTGAAGCTTTCATAAAGGAAGAAGTAGTAGGTGAATGAGTTCGCCAGAAAATGGAACGACAAGAAAATTGATACTGTTGCTTTCCGGGGCGCTCATGAGACGACGGCAAGATAGGACTGAAACGATCGACAGTCTGCCTCGACGCAAAAGAAACTCTTCTAGGAGGAGCTCGACGTGCTGTAGAGTTTGCAGTATTCTGCTGGAAGAAGACAAGAGAACTAAACTCAGACTACAGCGTGGAGCTGAAGCACGAGCGAAGCAAAAGCTGAAGCAAAAGCTGAGCGAGTTCGAAGAAATGGGGAAACACAGGAAAATGAGTGGGCGACATGATCTTTAGCTCGAAGCTCGCGCTGAGACACGCGGTGGGCACGTGCGCCTACGGGTAGCGCGGCAGCCACCATGTTTTCAAAATGGAGGTCGACGCTTTTGAAATCCGTGTAGACGATGGTGAGGGCTGAACGTACGAGTCGTACTAGGTACAAGTAAGTGCTTTCGAGCTTGCCAAAAGTCAGTTGATCCTCTGCAAAGCAGCTGAAGAAAATCATTTTTTCCGTTGAAAACTTGCTGTTCAAGATCGTGATTGTAGATGTGCCAAGAAGAACTGTCGCAAGAGACATCAGTCACTGATATAACCCGCTCCATGCATGTAGCTGAACTGAAGATCTGAAAAAAGAAATGGAGCAAGAGTCAGCCCAGAATGTACTGGATAGTGTTCTCTTTGATGTGTGGGAAGCAGCAGTGCTTCCTCTGTTGTCACTTGCTGACATCTTTCAGCTATGCGGAGTTACGAGACACGTCCAGGAACTGCTGCGTAATGAAAACACCTTCAGGCGTCTATGTCAGGTGAGTGATGATTATTATCCGAAACTCGATTTCATAATCGGTTTATGTATTTCTCGATGGAGGTAGGAAAGACGTTCCTGTTGGAGACAGTCCTTCCTTCTTCTCGTTCACTAGCTGTTTCGAATCTTGTATTTTTGGAGATTTTCTTTCGGCTGATAGGCCTCTTTGAAATTGATGGCTTACGGTAACTTGCAAATATTATCTCAGACTTTGCGCATCTAATTAGTGACAGGTAAAATCAATAATTAAAATAATGACCACAATTTCATATGCAATCATGTTGATACACCTGTTGCTATGCAAACTTTGTTGGTTTATATTTGGATCAACATGATCTTGATCCAGTCTTGCTGGACCACCCTGGATATGTAGGGTCTCCTTCTTTTGAAAACTGAATTGAAATTGTGCTGCTTAAGCCTATTACTAAGTTCATAATAGAGCATGTCTGAGAAAACCAGAACATAATATTATGTGCAAGTCGGTCTCTGAGATTTCGCTCAAATTTTGCTCAAATTTTTCAGGTAAGTTAGCTTCGGGGTGTAGATCGAGCAAAAACTACACGCAAAAAATTCGGTCCCTTTTGCATCAACTGTTGCACCCAAAAATATTGGTGGCGCAAGGAGAAGCTTGTCGTTTGGAGTGACAAGTGATCACCGCTGCCTTTCCTTGTCAGAGTCAAGGGATGATTGCCCTCGCCTTCTGCTGTGCTGGCGTGGCTAAGTGGTGCATCCCCAAGAACTCTTATAAGGTCTGGTAATGTTGGCTTGGTGGAGTTTTGTCCGTAGCTTGTTCTTTTACGCTGTGCCGTGGCTCGTTTGTAGACCCGTTAATCGTGCCAATATTGGGCCAATATTGAGGGGTATCCCAATTTTATGGTATACCCCATACCGCATGGTATGTCGTTAACAGAATATTGACGTACTCCAAAACCATAATAATTATATTGTATTGCCTAATGGCACTACTGATTTGCAAACACAACGTGACCATCATTGCGTGAAATATGTGACTTCTATCCAGTACAATACCAGTACAAACCATGAAATCCTATAAACTGCCGCTTATACATGTATTATTTAAATAATGTGCCTTTTCAAAATTGATTTATGTTGTGTGTTTTTTTGCCCCGTGCATGCAGAATCGCTATCAGATTAGTCCAAATTTGAAACTGTCATACATCAAAGTTGCGAGACACCTCTGCATTGCCACCAGAGTATCCAGCATACGTGAAAGCAAACCTGGGGCTAGCCAGCGCTGCATTATCGACTACCATGACCATAAGTGCCAGGTGTTCAACCAAAAACTCAGAATGATTGTGCAATTGTCCAGTCTAGCGTTGATGACGCCTACATCTCATACAATTATCCGGTACAGCCCTCCGCTACTGGAGCCTTTGGTAAAAGAACTTTGGCTATCATCAAAAGTCACTTCTTCCTCCCTACCCAACCTTTCAACTTCATTGATTGAGGAAAAATGTAGAGCAGGAGAAGGGGCGAGGTACAGATTAGCAGACGTGACGAGTTTGTTGTTGGAGATTTGCGGCTCCCATGAACTGTACCAAACATGCATTCTGAAAAAACTGGAACAGGATATTCCGGAGATTGAGTCGTACTTGCCCTACGCAAACCGCACTTGCAGGCTAATCAAGCTTGCAAAATGCTTTAAAAACGTAGCGAGGAGGGATCCAACATTGCTGTCATCACTAGAATGTGAGAATCTGGTACCAGCACTACCTCAGCACATTACTACTCGGTGGATCTGTAACCTATACGACCATCTTCTAATCGAGAAAGATAGGAGTCACGTTCTCAGTCATGACGTGTTAGCCACTCAGAATTGGATCGAACTCACGGAGCAGCTAGCAAAGTATCACTTAGTACTCAAGCTACTGATCAAGAGAAGACTACGTGTTTCGCAGGTGGAGGATTACTTCTTGGCTGTCATGGAGTATAACGAGATCTGGCACAGTCTGCCCCAGTCTAGTCGCCCCAGTCGGAAGGTTCTCTATCATGACGTGGGAATCTACCTACTCTCCAGAACACCAATGTGGAAGCGTGAAAAGGAACTGACAAAAGAGGAATTGCTGAACGCCATGGAACAGTGTGGCAAGAAGTGTGTGACAGTGTGTTCCAGTTCGACCCACGATGTGTGTTGCTGCGCTCGTGCATCTTGCTGCGTTCGTTTGTAGTTGTGGTTGTTTTTTTCCTGCTGTTGTTGGACCTACGATGTACATACATTACTTGTCTATAGACTAGAAAGCATTGTTATCAGATTTTCTTGCCTTGAGTTACGCATGACCGTGTTTAGTGTATTTGGCATCTGGCCAATTGGATTGTTCTTGATAATTCCTTTTCTGGCTGTTTTTCAACGTTTAAACTTTCTGTTCTCTAATTGTTGTGTTTGTCTCCTGTATCCAACGGCGGAGACCAGCTGGGTGATAGTTTTCAATGAAATGAGTGATTGTAAATGCTTCTTGTAATTGAGAACGGTTTTAAATCCAACTTTTAATTTTAACACCAAACGCATGAAACCATGAATTAAGAGAGCATGTCTGAGAAAACCAGAACATAATTTTATTATGTGCAAGTCGATCTCTCAGATTTCGCTCAAATTTTGCAGGTAGGTTTGCTTTGGGGTGTAGATCGACATTCCAAAGCCCGCACAAAATCTTTTGAAGGGAACCATGAAATTGGTATACCCCTCAATATTGGCCCAATATTGGCACGATTTATGGGTCAACAAACGAGCCACGGCACAGCGTGCAAGAACAAGCTACGAACAAAACTCCATCAAGCCATCATTACCTCACCTTAGAAGAGTTCTTGGGGCAGCATTACTTAGCCACGCCAGCATCCCAGAAGACGAGGGCAATCATCCCTTGACGCCACAAATGATCGTCTTGAAAATAGCCAAATTACAAGCGCTGATAAAACAGCGAGCTACGTCCTCAATTAGCAAACACTATACACCGGCAGATAGTAGAACACCTCTTCAAGCACTGAGGACATGTCCCCCATCATCCTTTTGGGGTTTTCTTGAAATAAACAATTTTGAATTTTTCCACTCGACCATTCTGAAATACGTCCAAACTCATACCTGCGCAGGAAAGCTCGCCCCTCCGCGACGTCTAGTCAGTAATTTCTACTCCAACACCACTCCCAACGCTGCAGAACAAAGTGTATTGTTGACTCTGACAAGGAAAAGCAGCGGTGATCACTTGTCACTCCAAACGACAAGCTTCTCCTTGCGCCACCAACATTTTTCGTTGCAACAGTTGATGCAAAAGTGACTGAATTTTTGCGTGTAGTTTTTGGATTTTACTGCAAGAGGAATGAAGAAATCACGTGGATCGTGACGTAGAATAATGCTTTCTGGTACACGACACAATGCACACGATCACGATCGTTCCTGAGGCGCTATTCGAAACGGACCATGAGGGAGGAGGTAAGATGCATTATATTTCTTGCATGCTCTGCTCAGAACATGCAGAAACTATCGTTATAACGCTAGCAGTATTGCATTGGCAAGAATTCTTGGAGATATTTCCTCTTGCAGTAAGAACAGGGATGCATTTTTTCACACTAACCTCGCTCATCCCGAACATGGTTCAACAGGAACTATGGCTGGTTTACATGCTCATGATCCACGTAGATCTGCAACAGCAAGGAATGAGCGTGGTCCATGCCATCAAGGTCGCTTGGAGTTGACCAGCGCGCGGCCAACACTGGTTCCATGAAGTATGTGGCGCGCCCACAGGGCAGATTTCTTACGTCATGAACAACGTGATTTGACCCTACTCGCCATAGTCTCTGTGCTGCATGTTGAGGGAAAATCCCAGCTGGAAGGCCTACAACACGACATGCGTGCTCTTGAGCTGGACATCAAGATGCACTTGATCCGATCCAGATCAACGGGTGATCCATGTAGTGCAGAAGCGCTTGATCTAGGTGACTCGGAACAACTGCTGAACCGTGATCTACGAGACCTGGCATTCTTGTGTCACGAGGCACGTGATTTCATCATTCCTCTTGCAGTAAAATCCAAAAACTACACGCAAACATTCAGTCACTTTTGCATCAACTGTTGCAACGAAAAATGTTGGTGGCGCAAGGAGAAGCTTGTCGTTTGGAGTGACAAGTGATCACCGCTGCTTTTCCTTGTCAGAGTCAACAATACACTTTGTTCTGCAGCGTTGGGAGTGGTGTTGGAGTAGAAATTACTGACTAGATGTCGCGGAGGGGCGAGCTTTCCTGCGCAGGTATGAGTTTGGACGTATTTCAGAATGGTCGAGTGGAAAAATTCAAAATTGTTTATTTCAAGAAAACCCCAAAAGGATGATGGGGGACATGTCCTCAGTGCTAGAAGAGGTGTTCTACTATCTGCCGGTGTATAGTGTTTGCTAATTGAGGACGTAGCTCGCTGTTTTATCAGCGCTTGTAATTTGGCTATTTTCAAGACGATCATTTGTGGCGTCAAGGGATGATTGCCCTCGTCTTCTGGGATGCTGGCGTGGCTAAGTTATGCTGCCCCAAGAACTCTTCTAAGGTGAGGTAATGATGGCTTGATGGAGTTTTGTTCGTAGCTTGTTCTTGCACGCTGTGCCGTGGCTCGTTTGTAGACCCATAAATCGTGCCAATATTGGGCCAATATTGAGGGGCATGCCAATTTCATGGTTCCCTTCAAAAGATTTTGCGCGGGCTTTGGAATGTCGATCTACACCCCAAAGCAAACCTACCTGCAAAATTTGAGCGAAATCTGAGAGATCGACTTGCACATATGTTCTGGTTTTCTCAGACATGCTCTCTTAAGAATCAAAGCGAAAAGAAAACCCAATCTCGGAAATAAATAAAACACTAAATTGAAATAATTCAATAATTGAACACAAAATCTTCACAAGAAATCGTCATCTAATAAGATTGCCTACTCGCATGCAACGCCTCTGCCCATATCAGCTCAGCCCGCGGCAATGTGCTGCAAAGGGGCTTCAGACCTTGCAGCGAATGTAAGAGGCCCTGTAGCCCCTAAACCACGTGACTGCCCATCGCAGCAGGCAAAATGAAACCCGGGTGCGGAACTCACTCATCACCGCAGAATATACCAAGTGTTACAGAGACTTTGCACGTGACTTCACAATTATTGTATTTGCTTGTTCGAATTTATTTGTAATTTGTTTCACTCACCTTCCACTTTTTCCGAGTGGATCATGTACGTGCGTGCTCCACTCTGCTGCAGTTAGAGGCAGCTACTCTACATGCAGTCGAGTCGATTCTATTGTGTATTTGCATGTCTCCTTGACAATATCTGTCCAGCTCTAAACGAGAGAGCTTAGAAGCTCAGGGCCCTACGCTATGCTTTTTTGCCTTGATGACGTAGACAAAAAAAGCATAGGGCCTAGGGATGTTATAAATTCTTTAAAAAATTCCTTTTTTTTAAAAGACATACCCTGGGATTCGAACCGCACTATCGCGCCCTGAAAAAAGCAAAAAAAGCATAGGGATGTTATAAATTTTTCAATTCTCCTATTTTTTCAGGCATATCCTGGGATTCGAACCCGCACTATCGCCCTACATGCATTCCCACATACACTTCGCATTCATACTCATTCTTCCAAGTTGCTTCACGTTATGATCTTGCGTTTGAAAGCCCTATTTGAATATTGCGGGCAGCTGTATGTGGCCAGCCGTCTTTGATGGTACGGTACGGTAGGGATAGGTACGGGACAGGTACGATCGAGGGTAACTCCGGGCTCTGCCGAACGGAAGATCCTGGCTCTACCATGTCGCTTGGGTGGTCTGGGACTAATCATCGTCTCTTCGTTAGCAGAACAGTTCCATTCATCCTGCCACATCAC